CTGGCTGTAATAAAGATATTCTGGAAATTTTAGTATTTAGACAATGAGGACAGAGCATGTATAATTAAAAAGTAGTAATGGGATAAAACATCTATCTAACATTTATCATAATAAGCAGCATTTTGGGAGAACAATAAGCCCAAACAGTATTTCAGAAAAGCTAAATTTCAAGGAATGAAGATACTATAGTACGAAGTTATGGCCAAAAATACTGTATTTTTAACCAGAAACATTTTTGAGGGGCAGTGACTGTACAATATTAGTTTTTTTCTGAAAAAACGATTTCTGTCCCTCAAACAACACACAATACATGCATTTAAATGACACTTTAAAAACAGCAAATATGATCTTTATTTTTAAATACTGCAAGTCTAAAAATGTATCTGTCCCTGCTCCCGCCCCCCCCCCCCCCCCAAAAAAAAAAAAATTGGTCAAATAAGGATTTCCTGCAGCATGATAGATGAGGAATCCAGCAACAGAATTCAGCTTATACTGTATTTTGAGGGAAAAACCCCAAACCAACAGATTTACAGTAAGATTGATCTGACTGACTTTATTTTTACACACTATCTTCAAAATATCCCTCTATTCCTTTCTTTCCTGCATCACGGCTACTGTGAAAAAGCTTGAGTGAAACTTAGAATAAAATCCCTGTAACTAGCTAAACAGTGACCCTCAATGTATTGTTGACTACGTAGAAATGTTTCTAGTTTGACTGATAAAACTCAAGATGTTATTGGTAACCAAAAGCCAAAAAGGAAGTATCAGTAGGTCCTTTTCTCAAACTAAATGTATGGGTTTGCAAGATCTGGACAGGGACAGATGGCTTGAGTTGTTTAATGCATGCTAGATTTTAGGATTTATGGTTCATGTCAAAAGAGGGACTGTATTTACAAAAGCGTGAATTTCTAAAATACCGTAATTACCTACACCAGGACATCTTAATGTCCTAACTTAGGACAGGCTCTCTGAAACATATTTAGTTTACCAATCTCTTAGCTAGAGGTAGGTCATCGGTAGGCTTTGTTAATATGCTGTACATATTAGCCTTAGTTCACTGATGTAATAGTCTGCAGGATAACCATGCACAGAGCTCCAAGAACAGCAGCACATATAATAAATTAATTGGGTAAATTTTATTTTTTCATGTGGGTTAACATGTCTGTGTGTTCTCCTAATACTTCATTCTTTTGTGAAGAATGTGTAACAGGGAAAGGGTCATGAGGTTGAGTAATCTGAAAGTCTTCTGCACCTTACAACCAGGCTGGGAGTCTACCAATGTCTTTATATGCAGCCCTTTTCTCCCCATTTAGAGTTTTTGCAAATCATGCAGTCAATTCTGACTGATATCCAGCATAAAAAGTCTCTTCTCCACTTTCAAACTTTAAAAAGTGATTCACAATCATGTGGCAGTATGATTAAAAATTACAGTCCATATACCTTGACAATCAAAAGATTTCTGAATTATAAAAAGTAAACTGCCCTTATAGCTGCATCATCCTAAATATGTAAGGACAGCGCCAGTTAATTTGTGAAAAAGGCAAGTTTAAGTTTTCTGTAAAACACATATTACAGCTTTCTTGTGCTAGTGAACATCTAGAATACACAGGTTCCCAAGACATTCTCCTTCCCTCCTCCCCCATTTATGACATTCAAAGAAATCACATAATTTTGGCAAAGTTAAAAGAGTTTCTGTCTTGATGTTTTTGCCTTCAGCTTCATGTTAGAGGCACAAACTTCTGGACTCAACCACTATAAGGCATAGTAGAAACTAACAATTAAAACCCCAGTAACAACACCACCACCACCACCACCACAATGGAATATACTGGAAGTGGGAACAGCTGTGTCATTTAAAAAGGAAATGTTTTTGTAAACTGTCACACTGCAATGCTGTGTTAGGTGATTCATGTAAAGCTTGCCTTGGCATGCCGAATATTTTTTTTTTTTTCAGAACATGCTCAAATGATCTAAACATTGCCACAGGTTCAACTTACCTAAAATATACCAGAAGCAGCCCAGTGGCACACGCTCTTGAAAACTTTTGCAATCACGATATAACTATAGAGCATGAGTAAATTTTTTATACAAAACTCAGAACCACATTTCCTTCTCCCCTACCCAATATCCCATAACAACACAGAACAAATTTAAAAAACCAAACAAACCTAAACCTTTGTTAGACACCACTGTCTTTTTTTTTTTGGCTACAGTTTGATTTATAGCACTGAATCCAGCATGGGCAATGTATTCCCAGGTTAAAAGGGATATTATCAACAGTGGAACTGTGAAAACAAAAGCTCTGTTGCATTTATAGCAAGACCAGGACCGATTTTGTAATGCTGTACACAAGAGGCACTGCTCTGATCCCCTTTTAGAATGTCAGTGTCACTGTTTATAACCTAGAGCTACCATCTTTATCTTTATTAAATAAAATCCTTTAACTCCATAAACTCATTAACAATAGTGACCTTCTGGTTGTTGTTTCTGTATCTAAGGTTTCTGCAATTTCTGAAGGACTGTTTGACTGATCTGATGTTCTGTATTTTTTCATGGTGTTTTTAGGACAACAGCATATACCCATTAGTACTTATGTACAATGGTTTAAAATATCTCTAAATTTACTTTATTCTAATAAAGCCTATTAGAAAAGTAAACGTCACCTATGGGGAACCTGCCAAATATAAATTAAATTTACATTTAGAAGCCTATGTTCCAATCTTAGATGTAATGGCGTAAATCCTTCTAATAAGACTGGCTTCTACATCTGTATAAAGCCCTGACAAGATTTAAACACTGTTCTGAATGTGAACGGCCTCTGTCTGGGTGTCTCCAATTTACTTCTACTCAGGAATGTGCAAATGATTTTATACAGCACGATGCTGGTACCGCTCTGTACTATAGTAATTTTTTTTGTTTTGTAAATAAAAAACAACAAATCCCTAGTCAGAAATAAACTGACAAAATTTACATTCTTCTCTCTTAAAAAAGTAAATAAAATAACATTATTTAAAATGTGAATTAGCTATGACATACAATACAATTACATAGATACATATCAATACAGCACATTCAATTTGCCAAAAATTAATGATTACAAAGCCAATATGGATGCTGCCATATATATATATAGATGTATGTACAATGATTATAGCATTCATAATTGCACTATACCTACAACCAGTTTTAAATTACAAGGTGTTTTAAGAGGGAGCAAAAAATAGCAAGTGTTATTATTGTTGTTTTGGATTTGGGAGGGTTAAGGATGAAAAATGTCTCATTAGTATTAATTCTTAACTTTGGAAATAAACTAATAAGCCATTATTTTTTTCCACCTCCCATTTGCTGCTATGAGGCAGCAATTTCTGTGTTAAGTGCACTCTAGTGCTACTTGGCATCGCAGATAATAAATCCAATTACATGTCTGAACTTGAGTTTTCTGTAGCTTGCTAGCAATCATGCACGTGGTCAAAAAACACCTTTCAACCTAAGCTGCAGAATAAAGGCTCATCAATGTGTGCTGCATTTTTGTTGTTTAAAAATTGCACATTTAAGTTTAGAGAATTTTTTTCTCACTGTTTCATTTACATTAATAAATCTTTTCTAAAGAACATTGAGGGAGGCTATTTTGCATGAAAGCCTATCAAATGTCTGTGAATCAGTTAGTTAACAAGCAACTGTATCAAGAAAGGTTCCTGAACGTGATCTCTCATCAATGGTTTCTTGTTATACAACTAAAGGTGCCTTGATATTATTACAGAAAACAATCTCATGCCATATTTGACATAAGGAGAGATTTAAACTGTCTTTTAAATTAGTAGACCACATGCATGTGTGTGGCGCACCTTGTAGCATATTCCCTCACACTGTTGGTTTTGGCATTAGAAAATGGAACACTTTCTAAAAAAGGGAACTTACGAGCTGAAACTTTATCATTTGGCAGTTGACTCAATCAGGTCAGTTCCCAACCCATCAGTTTGGCATTTCAATCAGTATCTTATGTTTCAAGAGCATTGGTTTTATAAAAAGCCAGATTTGGCAACATTAATTTTATACAATAAAAATAATTTTTCTACTGTGGAAAAAGAACACTTAAAAAAGCTCTAACTTAAAGAAAAAAACCCACACAACTGAAAAAAACCCACTGTTCCAGGCTGTAGCCACTGGGGAAAATGTAGTGTCTATGTCATTTCTATTTGGCATTTGTGAATAAAGGAAAAGAGAAAAAAATGGCACATGGCAATTAAAAAGAGATTCTAACATATTCCATGTACATCCCAGGCTGTGTCTCAATTATTTCATTACTGTCTTCTATGCACTTTTCCGAACTGTGAAAATAAGGTTAAATTTAATATCCTTAGACAAACATAATTCTGTTTTGCAATCCCAATATTTTAGTCCCAGAAGTGAAGACAGAATGAAGACACCCATGTCAAGAATTTAAGAATTAAGAAAATTAAGAATTTTGATCCTTCAGAGAAAGTACATACTGTAAAACTAGAATGACTGATGACTTAAATTCTGATGATAGTATTTTCCTGACCAAATCACTCAACAGAAAATATTTCACCCAGGAATGCAACTGGGAAAAAAAAGGCCATTGTACCTTGTAAAAGGTAAGGGGAGAGGGGAAGAGGGAGAGAGAAAGGGTC